TGCTGTCTGAAGTGCTGTCTGTACAAAAACACCATGGTAGGCATGGAACAAGAAGCTGGCGGGGCACAAAGCTGCTGTCTGAAGTGCTGTCAGAATGTGTCTGCGGACGTACAGTGAAAAAGAACAACCAACCAAAGCCACGATTGCAATGGACAATCACCCGAAGATTGTTACAACTTGTTATGCACTGAACTCATTCGACGGAGAGGAAGCTTGCTTGCGGAGATGGCAGGTACGGTGCTTCGAGAACGCGTCAACACAAGTAGGCGAGCGCACACTCATACATGCACGTTTTCTCCCAGGCTCTTCGGGATGCCTGCGGCATCCGGCTGGACCCAAGACCCGAGATGAAGTGTCGTCTAACGTCTGTGGTGTAATGGTTTAGGTTGCAAGCCACCAGGACAGGATGGTGTCGACCAATTTTCAACATATGTAAATACAACGCAAACATCCGGATGGCGACCCCGGCCAACGTGACTGGGAATATGAGGCGGGACGAGTGGAGAGAGAGGGGGGGAGCGAGAAGAGAGGCAGACCGACAGACCGATGACCGAGTTACTCCGAGCCGAGATCGGCTGAGAGAGAGCGGTACCCGCGTTCAAGAGAGTGGGCGTTTCGTTTTTTTTTCTATGCATGGCGCGACACACGCTGCGTCCACCGGCATGCACGTGTGAACTCGCCGTCGCTGCCACGGTAGAAGGCTCCTCGCAATCGGGCGATTCGAACCGCAGCCATGTTCCTACCAATTCGCGCACATACACACGATAATACAAATACACCGTGGCGCGCTGCTGTTTTATTTTCCGTCTCGCTCTCCTCTCACACACAAGCCAGTTTTTTCTCTCTTTGAAATCGGGGGGGAAATACAAGTCGATAATACTAACGTTCGCATTTGTTCAACACACACAGCACCACACCATGCAGCCCCCGTTGCATTCCTCGCTCTCCCGTGCAGGGAGCACGCATTTAACCCACGTCACCGCCACATGTCAGACGTCAGCCCTGCGCCCTGCAAAGGACGAGCGAGCGCACCTGCCGCCTCGTCCGTCCCTCCGCGTTCTCGTACAACCCCATCGCCTTCAGAAACTTCTTCAGCTCTTTCGAGGCTACCAGATCCTTCGACTCCGGCTCGCGATCCGAGATGACCGCCCCAAAGTGCTGCTGCATTGGAGCCAATCGCGGCATGATGGCAGTTGGCGCTGTTGCTGCCGCGTGCCTACCTCCCCCCTGTTTCTCTGCTCTGTTCTCCACAACTGTGCACGATTCACGATTTGGAGGAAGGGGCACGCGCGAAGCTGGAATGCTAAGTATTTGTCTGCGTGCCCCCTCCTCGGCTTGTTGCTCAGCCAACAGCCAGCTCACTGCACTGCTGTTACTGCCTACCCAGGCAGGAACACGAGGCTTCTCTGCGCTACCTGTCTCCCTGCCTTCTTGCTCTCTCTGTGTCTTTCTTGTTACGATATGTCGAGCTCCTTAGTGCGCTTGAGAAGATCAGGTGCGATGTTGCAATGCAATTGTATCTCGATGTGAATCATGTTGATCGTCGCCTGTATTCTGTAGTCATGATGTCATTATGTCACATTGTCTCCATTCTACCAAGAACTGGTTAGGCACAGGTTCCGCACTGCTGTCCGCATGACTTCGCTCTCCTTCTGCCGAATCACACCGTCAAAGCATGTTTGGTGTAGACCATCCTTTCAAACTAACTGTTGGCGTGAGTCTAAGTCTATACCCGTTGTGGCATTCTGTTCTCTCCGTTGATGAGACCTAGTCTAATACTTTTTTTTTCTTCATCATTGGACTCCGTCGTCTGCCCGTCTGCCCCCTATTATCCACTTCTACCAGCTAGACGACCCAACCGGGGTCACATAGGAGGGGGAGGTTGGACCCCCTCCTGCGGTTCCTGCCTGAGATATTTTTATTGTGAGAAGGGTACAGCAATCCCTTCCCTCCCGACTTATGAAGTCGATCAAGTTTACTACCAACGAGCATTGCAGCGCGTCGCTTCCAACGGAGAGCATGATTCAACCAGCGAGAAAAAACGACTCGATCCCATGACTTGGCCCGTAGCAAGTTGCGAGGCTACCCAATAGACCACTACTATATGTGTACACGAGTGCTGAATGTCTTGCTGTCGTTTCTCGTGTGTTTTCCTCTTTGACAAACACCCAGCGCTGCTGGTAGCTTCCGGTGCCGTCCTGGGAGCAGGGTACCAACACACCAGAGAGAATCCCGAAGCTTGGGAGAAAAGCAAGCTCGGTCTCTCGCGATCAGCAAGTGAGAATAAGAAGCAAGCGTGTTTATTGATTCACACCACGGGCGGCGAGTAAGAGCGTGCGGCGTAATACATGAGCACAGGGGTTACACATGCCCAAAAGTCTCTGCAAGGGCACACATTTCGTGTCCTGTCCCGCCCCTTCATCACACTCGGGCGGTCAGTGTTGTAGGATCTGCTTTGCTGGCCACTGGGAGGGTATCATAGAGGTCGGCTGCTGCTGCTGCCTTCAGCGCCACAGGAGAGCAAGCAACATGGAGGTTTCTCCCCCGCGGAGAGTTAGGGAGTCGGTCGGAGGGTTCTGAGGTCCCCTCGCAGGACCAGTCGAGGCCTATATACCAGTGCTCTTGTGGGTAGAGCTCTGCTGTTGTGCTTGCGTCGCACCCACCAAGCTGGCCGGTGCCTGAACGGATGATGTACAGTAGATTTATTTTCTCAACCTCCAGCAACCCTGCCCCTCTGGTGCTGGTGTTGCTGGCTGGTAGGAAATATTCTTCGATGCATATTTTTTCACATCCTCCACCCATAACCACTTGGTTGTATGGTTGGGTGATGTTGCTGTTGCTGAAGGCAACAATTTTTCGCACGCTCAACCCCAATTCACTTGGTTGTAGAGAAGGCGTGAAAGTCTCTGGATTTCAAGTATAGCTAGCTCCCTTGACCCCGGCGACCGAACCGTCTTGGAGGTCGCTACATCTTCGCGCCAGAGAGACAAACATTCTTGGCACGCAATCCGCTGATTGTTCAACGCACCACAAATGTTCTTCTCTGTCGACCACGACGGCCAGCACCTCCGCGTCCAGGCCTCGTGCGTGGTAAACGTTGCACCCGCTGGCACCCTCTTGGCCCGTCGATAACGTCCCTCCCCCCCCACCGCCCGCCTCTCCTTTCTCTCCCCGGCTCGTCGAGGGTTCGTGGACGTTGAAATTGTCACAAAGTCGCAGAGTTTTTTCACTGAGGAAATTCGGCGACCTTCGTTGGGGTGTTGAATATATACTAAGGTGATGGATTTTCTTTCCATAGCGAACAGTTGCGTATGACAGGACACACGCATCGATGGCACCCACGTTCCCCTCTGGTACAACCTTTCAATGACCTGCGCCGGTGCTCAGGGATACGATGATGATCGCACGGCCACCCCCCTCCCCCCCCAACCCCTGGTTGGACCGCACGACAACAATCCAGAAACGCTGCTCCCGCTGCTCTTGCTGCTGCAGTTTTTTGGTCGCAGGCGCTGCCGATCTGGCTGAGATACCGCGTGGTCCAATGGAAGGTAGACGGACTGCCCGAAAAGGAACAGGTTAGTGGGAAGGTCTTTCGTGTGGATGACAGGCGTAGTAGTGCTGTAACCATTGTTGCACATACAAGAGTAGGACCAAGATACGATCCGAACGGAGGATCTTACTGGTGGTTGATCAGCAAGAAACCCGACTATGGATGCGTCCCTCTTGGCGCCACCTGTAGAGCTTGGGAATCCGAGACCCTCGGGCTTGGTCTCCCTCGCCCCTTCGGCGGCACTCTCTCACTCTCTCTTTTGTCTCTCTCTTCTGAGACCCTCTCCTCTCTAAATCTCAACGAAGAGAACTGCCAGCCTTTGGTAGTTGGTAAAGACTACTGCGACCTGGGCCTCCCCCCAACGAGGGAAGCCTGTGTCCTTACTGGCGTCGACGAATTACAACTACCTTGCTGGTACTGGAGGTAGCGGTGGGAGATGGCGAAAAATTCAGCCGTGCAACGCGCTCGCGACAAGGCGGAAGAGGTGGACAACAGGAGGCTCGAGGAGCAGCAACGCCGCCTCGAGCTGGAAGCTGACCTAGAGCAGCTACAGTAACGCCTCGCCGCTAAGCACACGACAACCCCGATGGCACGTGGGACACCCCCGGAACGGGTGCCTGATTCATGCCCCTCGGGTGGTAGCAGTCCTCCGGAGGAAAAGTCGGATGACCCCGAGGGTGCCGACCGCGCTAGCAACACCAGCGGCGGTGACGATGGCGATGGTTCGGGCGAGCGCGAGAAGTTCTTCGGCGGAGAGGGTGGAGACGATGATGAGGACATCCCCACTGCCGCCGGCCGGGAGCAACAGGGGGATTGGGCAGACAACGACGAACCCGTTCAGCTAATTTCTATTTTCCAGACTACGCACGTTGTATTTGGCCACTGCACAGCCGCAGTACAGCAACAGAGACTACAGCACCTGCAAAATTGTGCAATGTCCTCTATATTCAACTCCAATTCTCAATTTTGTAGAATACCAATTGTTGAGGAGTTCAGCCCACCCCCCATCCCAACTGCGTGTTTATCTATGGGAGTGGAAAACGGTGGTGCGTCTCGTAATGGATGCGTGGTCGATGGCGACACGGCTGAAAGAACGAACAAGGTGACTTATCCCCTCCCTGTGCTTCCCTTTCGCCTGTCCCCCTCTCCTTCTTCCCTCTCCCCTACGTCCTGTCTACGTGTCTCTTTCCCCTATTCCGTTTGTCGTCTTGCACATTCGACATCAAAGGACGAAGCTTATGCACCCCTCCATGACGCGTACGCTAAAGAGGCTGTGGACATCATCCTCAGACTCAAAGGTTTCTACATCAAGGCAAGGCAAGGTCTGGGGATGTTGCCGTCCGTTTCTTGTTTGTGCGACATCTCGGTGTTCAACCTGTGAATACAACATAGGAGGATGCCAAAACCTCTTGCGCCATATTGGTAGTTTCCAAGATAGATCCGGTCGTGTCAATAGAGTCAGATGCACATGCACATATCTCTCGTCCTACTATTGTACCCACTCACCGCACGTTTGCCCACCTGCCTACTGCTGCACATTGCTGGTCCTGTACTGTCGCTGCTGTCGGTGTCTTCTCTCGACGTCTTTCTCTGTGTTTTGTGTTTTTTTTTTTATATTGCAGATCGGGCAGCTAGCGTCAACTCGTGCGGACTTTCTGCCCCCACAGTACTACGACCGGGTGAAGATGCTGCAGAGCGACACCCCAGCCGAACCGTTAGACTACATCAGGCAAGATGTAGCAGCAGTAGTAGTAGGGGCCTTACGTACGCGAGCCGTGCCCCAACTTTGTTGGTGGTGGACTCGACTCGACTCGACTGTATTTTCAGGCAGGGGAAAGAGCCGTCCCCGAGCCCTCTTGGTAATGGACTGTGCTTCTTTTGATTTTTTTCGCTCTTTTCCCATTGATCTATTGACGTGATGTTTGTGCCACATGTTTTTTGCGAGACGCCCACAAGTTAGATAGCCAGAAGGGGCGTCTCTGCCGCATGTTGTAGAGAGCATACCATTGGTGGTTTTGTTAAATTAGTGGCCCAACTCTTGACACAGTGTATTTTTCTTATGGCCGTGTTATTATGATAGCAACGTGTACCGAAGAATCGACAGCGAGGAAAGAGCCATATTATGTATGGCATGACCGGTTCTTTGCCGATCCGAGCCGGTCCGAGAGAGTGAGACAGAACCAAGAAGAAAGGGGGGTGGGGGGGATCACCCCAGCCTTCCTCGTGAAGTTCAGCCACGAACCAATAACACCCCAACCAGGCCTCCAGCAGTAGCGGAGCATCAGCCCCTCATGTGAAAGACCAAAATTTGCATTTGAGTGCCAGTTCGGCTCCTTGAGCGCTCCCCGTCTTCGACTTCCCCTCGTGCAATCAACAACCGGACGGCGTAATCCTCTGATTGCAGCATTCTGGCGTCAACTTTTTCCTTTGGCGTGCGTACAAGCGCATCCGGCGGGTTCCTCGCCAAGCCCTGTCCGTCTCTGTCGTTGGTGCTTGCTGCTGCTGCTGCTGCTGCTGCTGCTGCTGCTGCTGCCGCCGTCGCCGTCGTCGCTCAGGGGTCTCGTGGAACAGTCCCTAGGCCAGCCGATCGACAGGATGTTCCGATCGTTCGAGGAAGGACCCCTTGGCGCCGCCAGCATAGGTCAGGTGCACAGGGTCACTATGAAGGACGGCCGGCAAGCTGTGGTGAAGGTACGGTTGGTGGTCCCGAGTTTGCTGATGTTTTTTTAAATGCTTGCGCTCCGCTTTCGCTCTGCGACACCGGTGCTGCGCCTTGCCCAGCCTGGCCCGACTCGATCTGGGCCAGTCTTTGGTTGCAAAGGCTTATGGTGGGAATGACGATGACGTGCTGCTCGCTTCCCTTCCCTTGAATACTAGCCATGCTTTATGCTTTCTCTCTCTGGCGGTGCTTGGTTGATTTGCTTGCTTTCTTTCGCCCGACGCATCACAGCACAGGAACCCATTCGACCGCCCTACCTGAGTCTGCACCATCCGTACATCTCGGGTATATAATTCGCGTTGTCTATGGTTCCTACGCAGGTGATGTTCCCAGACAGACTATACACACTTGCAACCGGTAGGGTCCCCGGCAAGATGACGTTAGGGATCGTCACTTACGAGTCGAGGCTTTCGTGTTTGTCTACCTACTATGCAGGTGATGTTCCCGGGAGTGGAAACGATGTTCCGGTCGGACATCAAGACGATGAAGGACTTCTGCGCCTTGGCCCAGCCGGAGCACCTGGTGATGCTCAAGGAGGTGGAGAAGCAGTTCCTGACGGAGTTCGACTTCCGCGAGGAGGCCAAGAACCTGGAGCTCGTGCGCAAGAACATGCGGAAGGCGTGGTCGAGGCATGTGAGAAAGAGAGAGAGAGAGCGAGACACGCACAGACAGACAGACAGACAGACAGACAGACAGAGGGCAGAAGGGTGGCAGGACACAGGCCGCGCTAAGCCTCGTGCGCGCGCTGTAGTGCTTACACGGGACTGCTGTCAACACACGGCCGTACAATAGTGCTTACACGGTACTGCTATCAGCACACGGCAAGCACAACCGAGCTGATCTGCCCTGGAACGTTGTGCCGTTGTTGGCATTTACTTCTGCCTGGTCTCGTGTACCGTTCAGCTGGAGCAGCAGCAGCAGCAGCAGTGACGCCGGACGTTTCACAATTTTCGCGAGCTGGCGCGATGAAATAAAGATAGAGGAAGGGCAGTCGTTCTGTTTACGTCGAAAAAGCGATCGGTCTCGCATCATGTCTCTCTGTCCATTCTTCATCGAAAGCATATATATATATTTTTTTCTCGCTTTCCCTGTTTTTTGTCGTGTGTATCGTTTTGGCTCCTGGCCTTTGTACGCTACCCCTGTTCTCCTCCTCCTCCTCCTATTCCTCCTCCTACGCCAACGATTATTCGACCAACACCCGAAACGACAATGACGGACAACGACGACAACGGCCCCAAGGACAGGTGGTTGTGCCGGAGGCTTACCACGCCACTCCGTCGACGCTCATCATGGAGTACGTCCCCGGGAAGCCTTTGGTGGACGCTATCCAGGAACACTTCCAGAACGTGGCGGCGGCGCGCGGCATGACCCTTGACGAGCTCAGGTAAATAGAAGCCCGTTGGTCGATGCATCGTGTCTCTGTGTGTTCTTGCTTCGGACAGAGTTGCCGTATGTGTGTTTGTCTGCATGTGTAACAGAGACTAAAAGGCAGCCAGACACGTAGAGACAGACAGAGACACAGGCTCACAAGTGATCTAGCAGGGAGGTACTGTAGTTTTTTGGCGGGTCGCCTGGAGCTCAGCGGGACCAAAAGCCGTCTGGTGTTTGCTTTTTTAATAGTATTTGTGTCGCGAGTCGCAAGACTACTTTTCTTGCCGGTATCCGGCTAGATTTGTGTTTTTCGTAACACATGTGACTGACTCCAATCCCACTGTCTTATTTAGCCTTTGGCTTTTAGCCGCCCTTGTATTCATTTTTCTCACAACGCCAGCCCTGCTTGATACGTGGATTGCTGCGAGCCGTTGGCCCGCTCATGCTGGCACCACTTGCCTCAATTGTGTCGAAATTGTGTCATGTTCTTGAGCGTATTGTCGACTCGAGAGCGCCTTGATGATTTGTTTGCTGGAGGCAGCCAAGGGCCAAGGGCGGGCTGCGCGGACGAACCGATGCATGCTGGGGGGGGGAGGAGGGGGGGGGCAAGCCGTTCTGCCGCGAAAGATGCCTGAAAGTTGTACCCCAGTACCGTGGTCTCCCTCCCAATTGGCAAAACATGACCCGATGACTGACCCCCCCCCCAACGTATCCCATTGCGCTCCACAACAAAACCATCAACGATAACAACNGAGGAGGGGGGGGGAAAGCCGTTCTGCCGCGAAAGATGCCTGAAAGTTGTACCCCAGTACCGTGGTCTCCCTCCCAATTGGCAAAACATGACCCGATGACTGACCCCCCCCCCAACGTATCCCATTGCGCTCCACAACAAAACCATCAACGATAACAACAACGCCGAAAAAACAGACGAGAGGCGGAGGAGAAAGAGGCTAGAGGGGAAGCGGTCGTATCACCCGGCGTCGTCAGGATGGGGCTGTGGCGGGGGCTGTTGTGGGGGCGCGCGACAGCGTCCAACGCCGGTCGTTTTCTGTTCAACACTCTACTCGCCCCCGTGGCGGGGGCGACGCGCCTGGAGTACCAGAAGGCGAGGCTCCCCCTCAACACGGAGAAGCTCATCGAGACCCTCTTCAGGTGCGGCGGGGGGGTAAATCAGGAAGGGGGTGGGTGGGAATTGTTGCCTTGGGAGATCGTGCCTATGTGTTTCGGCACTTGGAACACGATTGCATCTCTTCAAGCTTCCACTTTTGGCGAGGAGAGCGTGATGCCAACAGTCAATACGGCTACGGGTGTAAGGTGCGGGACCCAGGGGTAGGGTGGAGGGAGGAACGGGAGGCACGACTGCTGCTGGGTTCGTTTCCAGCACTCTCTCGTGTGTGTGTTTCGATGCAGATGCAGATGCAGATGTACATGTACGGGGGTGTTGTGGACGCTAACGCTATCGTATTCGTTGTGTGCGAGTGTTTACTTCGTTACCCTCGCCATGCGGTCATACTCCGATTGCCGCGCCTCGCTT